TGAATATTGGTATTTCTGGATCTTCTGAGGAGGAAAAGCTATTACCTGCTTTGAAATTCGTATGATTGTATTTAGGGTTTAGTGTCACGTTGAAGTCCTCCATTATGATGATTTGATATTGTTGTTAAACCTTGTTTCTTATTATAGTTTGTATTTTCCTTTGAATAGTTATACTCTTTTGTTTGTTGCAAAGAAGATATACTTGAGCTATTTATGTTTTATATCTTCTGCTAAGTAGATTGATTGCTATGAGGTGTTCTTCTATCTTATCTACTTGTGCAATATATTTTTTCAAATCTTTATGAATTAGTAGAAATACTCTTGCTCCCCTGGGATTAATTGGACAAGAACTAGGGAAGCATTTGTATTTGTCTTTGCTATTGTTGAATACGAATGTCTGATTGCTGAAAGTAAGTTTAATTTCACTTAATCCTAGAATATCAATCTTTTGGTCCCATATTTCTTGTATTAGTATTTCCTAATCTATGGTCCTAGTGTTCCTCTGGTATTGTGTGTACCAAAGCATATAGTATCATTTAGAAATATCTTCCTTTGTTCTGTAAGAAAAGTGTTGATTTCATTGTTGCTTGGGGTGTTGGTCATAATCATTCTATTGGAGTTATCCGAAATGTAATCATCTGTAGTGAATAGTAAATGATGGTTATATGTTAAAGAAAAAGCTTGCGAGAGAAGTTTTTTCCTTTCAGCTATTGTCGTGAATTCAACTAGGACACCTTTTAGGAGAAGTAGTGGAGGAAGTTCTTGCTGCTATTTCTTTTGTTCTCTAAGTTTATTAGTCTTGCACTAATTGTATTCAATATATTGAAAACTTCAGACCAGGGATCCATTTCAGATAATGATTCTCTTTGTTTTTTCTTGTCTGAAGATTGTTTTCTCCTTTTTTCTTTAGTTTTCTGGATATAGGTTATTTGCTGTTCTTCTTCTTCTTCTTCTATATCCATATAAATAGAAGATGATGCCAGTGATGTTTCAATATTTCTCAAGTGTTTTGAGAAGGTGTCTTTGTTCTTTCTTTTTGAGTATGAAATATGGCTGTCCTGTGATATGGGCTCTTGTATATGTATCTTTGTATTATCTTTGATACTCCACCAAGTTTTACATCCAAACAGTTCTATATTTGATAGTAATGCTTTGTTTAAGTCCTCCTGGTTTTCAAACCCAAGAATGGCAAAGTTTCTCCTCTTTCCTATTCTTCCGTTCGCAGAAATGTAGACTGTCTTTACTCTTAAATGCTTTGTTGCACTCATTATACAAAAGACAGAAGTGGACTTTTCAATTCCATAAAGTCTAACTATTATTTCATTTCTTTTGAAAAGTGTTGCCTAATGATTTTCCAGCATTGTGATTCTTGCCATAAAGTCATCTATTGGTATTGACCAAATCTTATGAATATTTGTTTTGATGGATTTGAAGGAGAAAATTGTATTATTGTAACTATGGTTTTCTCTAGTGAGCCTTAAGAATTCTATTTCATCATATTTGTTAAGTATACTATGGATTTTCTTGGTTGAAATGTGCGATGGGATGTCTAAGAGTATCATTTGGTTTGGAATTTCTGATTCCATTGATAATAAGGATGAGCTTTCAAAAGGTACTATATTTTCTATATTGTTGTTTATAATGATGATGATGTTTTGCTCCTAAATGTGCTCTGATAGCTGTTGCTTGTATTTGTATACATCTGCTATATTGTCAAAGTATAAAATTATCCATTTGTTTTTGCCTATAGCTAGTACTTGTACCTTTTCATGTTCTAGTGAAACTTTAAGCTTGTCAGTTATGAACCTTAGTTATTTCTCTCTACTGACACCTGGAGTTATATTACCTTTGATTCTTAGTTGCACCTTTCCTAAGCAATTGGATAGTTTAAAGTGATTGGACCTGTCATATATTACTTTTTCTGGATTAGACTGGTCCTTCCAGTTAAGATTTTTTTTTTTTGTTTCTTTGGCTTTTTTGATGATATATATGAAGTCTTGTATTTGAATAAGACAGAAGTTTTCTTCATTTTTTGAGTTGACTTTATTCATGCAAGCAGTTAAGTCTCTTTTATATTCAAAATGAATTATATATCATTCATTGCCATTATGAAAGAGAGACTGAATAAGGTGTTGTTTGTTTTTCGGCAGCTTCAGTATGTTTGCCAAATATTTTCTCTGTTCTGATTTGCTGTCTTCTGGTGTATTGGCTATCATTGACCCTGCTTTGTTTGCTCCTTCTCTGCAGATATAGAAGGGATTGATTGGTTGGTATTGCCTGTTTCTTGTTGCATAGTCAGAAATCAACTTGATGTCAAGGTTTTGGATTGAAGTGGAACCGTGGATATCTGTATTGTCATCTGAAGAGTGTTGTTCTTCCATGGTTATCTTTGGAATATGTATCTCTTCACTATGGCTGAATTATCAATTGTTTGTTCCTTCATTTCTATCTCTGGCACTTGTTGATTTCTGTTTGATTTGTATCATTGTTTGTTATTTGAATTTGTTTAGGACAGGCCTGCTCTAAGTTGTCCTGTATTGGTTGCAGAATACTTAAAATCTGGGCTATTTGTTGTGAATCTTCAATAAGAAATTTATTTAGAATATTCATATCGAGTTAGTTAAACTTCCATATTTGTTTAATATATTCTTTGGCCAGCGCCCATTTAACCATAGTATTTGGGTTGATGTTAAGAAGCCTTGCTGCTATGGCATCGATAACTGTGATGTTTATAAGTACTCCCAAGTCTGAAATCTCTGATGCTGTGTTGGTCGATCCATCTTCTATGAGAGTATGCAGTTATCTTTGATCACTTTCATTGTGATGATCTTTTAGTGTTCTAAGGTGCTCTATGATTTGCTCCTCCAATAGGATTGTTGACATTTCTGTCATTGTATTGGTTGTATGCAGATGTAATACATATGTATTGTTTGATTGTTTTTTCATTGTTTTTCTGTGACATGTGTTTTTCTGATCTTGTTATTGTCTTGTTTATTTGTTTGTTGTTATTTTGATTGCGGAATATAGTCTAACCTTAATTTTGAATCCCATAAACAAACTTGTTTGTTTTCTTGTTTGGAATATGGAGAACTATGTACATGTGTTTGTGTTACTGCTAATCTTTTGGAAGGGATAAACTGGTTTGGATTTTTAATTCCAATGTAGATCGGTTCGCGCGACAATTGTTGTTTATAGTATGAGATTTGTTTGATCTTTTGCTTTTCTTCTAAACATAGTATTGAAAAAGTCTTGATACTCTCTGGTTTTGTGTCAATGGCGAGATTACTTGGTTTATCGGATGTGATCTGGCTGATACAAGGCCCTACTAGTGTTTAAGGAGATATCTAACCTGGTACACGACTGACTGGTAGCTTGTAAGATATGGTGCTGACTTTCTCCTTTACTTTACTATAAATTGTATTTCTTGTTTTTTCCTTCTTCCCAGTAAGAAAAAACAAGTGTGTATCTATTTATTTTGAAATAAAAGCAAAGAGTTGGTGTTTTTTTATATTCAGTAATACCTGCTATATATGTTCTTCTTGGGTTTTAAGGGAAAACAGTGGAATGTTTCTTTCTGTTGAAAGTTTTCCTTGAGTATTTTCCTGGTGTTTCTTGGAGTATTTTGTATTTTTTCCAAAAAAAAAATTTTTGAAAATTGGTAGTTTTTCGGAAAAGAGTTTTTTTTTTTTATATTTAATTTTTAAAATATATAAAATTTATATTTTTTGTTTATATTGTATTTTTTGCTATATATTAATCAAATAATTCAAATTTTCAACCAATTATTATTAAAAGTTTTTGTTATAATCTAAAATTCAAAATTAAATTAATAAGTTAAAAATTCTTTAAAAATTTAAAAAAATTTATATATTTAAGAAAATAAAAAAATTTTAAAAAAAATAAAAAAAGTTTCAATAATCAAATAATAATATTTTTTTTTTTTTTAAGTTTTGAATTTTTAAAAAAAAAAATAAAATGTTTTTTTAGCATTTTTTTTTTTAATAAAAATAATAAAAAATTTCTTTGAGATATTTATTTTTTGAATTGATAAAAAAATCAATAAAAAAAGTTATTTATATTTTAAAAAATTTTATATAAAATATAAAATTATTAAGAAATTACTTTTCAAGTTTAATATATCAAAAAAATATTTAATATTTAAAAAAGTAGATTTTAACAAATTAGTAATTCTTTTATACTATAAATCCTTTTGAATAACTAGAAAAAATAATATAAAATTATAAACAAAAACCATAAATTATATTATAAAATTAGTCTTGGATTATATATGTTGCTAATTCTTGATATAATTAATGAGTTACTATTAAAACAAAAACTTGAATCAATTTTTGAAAATTTGAAATTAAGTTAATAGTATAATAATTATATTATATTTTGCATTATATTTAATTAATTTTAGTGAGTTCACTTTATAATGTTATAGGCTTAATCATAAACCAGATTCACAAACATATACATTTTTATAATATTTCTTGTAAATCTTGACATCAAGTCAAATAAAGATTACGCCAGCATGTTAAAAATACATATACATATTGTTATTTGAATTATATATACCCTTTTAGGACTATATAAAAATTTTAAAAATTGGTTATAGAGTTTGTATTGAAACATAATGCGCATTTAGAGGGTTTACTGTAGTCCAAAAACTTTTTTGCAACATATGTCAATTGAATTGATTAAATTTTGATTTTACCATAGCTATTATTTAGTGATAGGAACTGCTTATTAATTCTTTCACGAAAGATGAAAATTTCTTGTGAACTGATGCATAATCTGATAATTGGTAATAGATTGCCTTAATATATTAGTATTCAACACAAAACGTCACTCAGTACTCTTAATATTAAAACGAATAAGTGAAATTGTAGTTGAATATACATAAATACTTTTATTTATTGATTCCCCTATATACATTAATAAATCATAAGATGTAAGTGAAAGGAAGTCAGAAAACCTTGAATGAATTAATGACCTACGTAGTTAATATAATCTGGACTTTCACATGCTTCATATTCTTTGATCAAATCTTGAACTATTTCTCTTTTCACAAAAAAAAAAATTATTAGTGAAACAAAAAATTTACTTTCTGTTATTCCATATTGTTCTCACCTAGCAGCATCAAACTCATCCAGATTGTCCGAAAACATGTCTTCTTTTCTATATGAATCCAAGAAAGCTCCACGTTTTCTAAATCGGTCATATTGGTCACAGGTACGTTTTAACAACTTAACATATTTATTTAAAAAAAAAACAGATCGTTAATATATATCCAAAAGTTTTGTCTTTCAAAAGTATAGCATACCGATGAGATACTGGTATGATTAGCCAACATCAAGCCGCTCACTCGGTGTGATGTCTGTATATATGGTGATTTTTTAGTAATAGCTACTTGAATACTTGCTGGACCCCATGGGATAAATTGTGCCAACCGACGTTCACGAATTCTTAGTAAGGATTTATGAACCTAAACCAATGTTAATAGGCCTGTACATGTTATGTTATTCATTTACCAAGTAAATTGAAAATATATTTTTTTTAGACCTACATCAGTGGGATCCGCTTCTCCTTGGATAATATTCAACACAGAAATATAACAACTCTTTTTTGATGGATTCGTTGAAACCATTCTATTTTTAGGCTGCAATAATCGTCTCATTACATCAAGTACTGTGGTCTTACGTATTGACTTAGCCTTAAATATTTATTAATTTGTAAAACAAGAACGCTAAGAGAGTGAACAATTCGCAAAAATGTCAAATACATAATAAAAATAATACAAACCTTTTCTACCTGATCACTTGTAAAAGGCGTATAGGCTGTCATCAAATAGTGACATTTCGGCGTAGGAATTAGCGAAGAAATCATACCAACAAGATCATTATTCATATATCCTGGATAACGTAATGTTGTTGTACTTGCTGACATCACAGTCGACACCTAATAATTTGGATTGCTTATCAAACTTTGATACTTTGTCTGTTCAATTTAACTTATATTAATACCAGTTGATTCGTTTGCGTAAATGTAGGATTCTGAACGTGAAGACGATCACACGCGATCCTGTTCAAAGCTGCATTATCCAGAACGACCTAAAAATACAAAATCATGTTAAAAATTAATATTTTAAAAAATTAATTAAAATCAGATAATTACCACACAGTCAGCATTGTTTGTGAGTCTTTTTAAGGTCAAGATGCAGTTATATGGTTGAACGACCACATCGGAAACTTCTTCATTATTAGGAAATACAGAGTATGCTTGAATCAATTTTTTAGGATAACGATCGTTGAGTCGTTCTAAAAGAAAAGATCCCATTCCAGAACCGGTTCCTCCAGCAATAGAATGAAGAAGCATAAATCCCTATTAAAGTAAGTAAATATAATAATTTATTTCATAATTTAAATCGAAAATCCATATACCTCAAGAGAATCACTGCCGTCAGCCTCACGGTCAATCATCTCAAATATATCTTCACAAACTTTTTCAGCTTGTGAAAATCCATATGCCCAAATGTTACCGGCACCACCACCATCTTTCGACACATAAATATTCTCAGGGTTATATAAATTTGAATATGGTGAAGTCAAGATGGTATTGATAACCTGCAATTTGATCAATAATGACTTAATGATATTCACGCGAACTGATTTCAAATCGACCATGTCAAGTATATTGATTTTACCCTTGGCTCGAGATCCAATAATAGGGCCCTAGGTATATAGTGTTCATCGTCGGCCTATCAAATTATGTATTGTATGAAGAGCAATAACTTGGAACAAAATTTCCAAATCTTATATGAAACTCTCGTGACCTGATAGAAAAACACGTCCTTTCGATCACCGCCTTCCGTAGCAAAATCTTCTAAGATACCATCCTTACTGATACCATGTTCAGCGCAAAGTTGAGACCAAAATTCTTGTCCAACTATAAATATAAAAAATGATAATTATTGCTTAGAGTAGTTATTGGTATACAAAATATTTTGAGATAAGGTCTATTATAACGTTATGAAACTTACCCTGGTTCCCACATTGTCCTGTCTGAATCGTAATTAATTCGCGTGGCATGGTTTCAAGATTGTTTTACAATTCAAAGTATCAAAACGCGTGTATATCAGCCTGCATTACAGATTACTAGAATTAATTTGGTTAAATAAATTTATATTGTGGATCATTACAAATACAAAATATATAGAAACTATTTACGTAATTGTCAATAGTACAAATTTTTAAATATAATTTATAAGATGAAATATTATTTGATTTTGAACAATTAATCATATTTTTGAATTAATAATATCATACTATTTTTTTTAAAGATATAGTTTTTGCTAATAAAAAAACTATAAAGTTAAAAATAATTTTATTTATCTTTAATTTATTAAAGATTAATTAAATATAATATTATATTTTCTAAAAAGTATATTATAGAAAAGGAATTAATTTATCAAGATCTACTTAACAAGTTTCTTGTATCAAATAATACAAAAAAATTTAATAAGTAATTCTTTAATTATTTAGCTTATAAAAAAATTTTTATAGTAAAAATTGTAATAATTAATATTGTATTTTTATATTTAAAGTATTATTTTTTTATATTTGTATATTTTTTATAAAATTATAAATCAAAAAACCTATATTAAAAAAAAAAAATCTATAATATTTTGTTATAATTGCTTAAAAAGTATATACACATATACAGTTCTCCCCAATAAATGAAGGATCACTTAAGAATTATTTTAATTAAATGGAAATAGTTGTCATATATTAAACTTTTTATTTTATTAGTAAAAACAACTTTTATATATTAAGTAAACTTGTTCCTCATAATGAATTCTATATATGATTAAAATTTTATTAAATTTGAACAAACTTTTATTATTATGCTTAACGATTTTTTTCTGAACGAAAAATTTTTAATTTTTTTATTAAAATTTTGACACCCACATGATTTTTATAACCACTGTTTTAACAAGTAATTTGATATTAATAAATTTTGTTCAGCATATGTTAAAGTATTTAAATATTAAATTTCATAAATTTTTACTTGGTAT